CATCATCATCATCATAATCATCATCATCATCATCATCATCATCATTTATCATTTAAAAATGACCGCACTTACCAACAAGCCTGGCTCGGACCGCCATGGGGGGCAGCAAACTGAACTGTGGCCAGAGTGGCTGCAAATCTTCAACATCAGCTACATTGTACTCACCCCAGTCAATGAAATATAATGACACCTGCAAATAGAAAAATGCTTAAAAACACAAACCTAGTAAAGCAGAAATAACCCTATCCCTGAAATTCTCTATGTAAGTCTCTCTCACTGCCTCGATCCCTCCCTCGCTGACTTCCCTTCTCTCATGATTTTGCTCTTGTTCATTACCTTTCCCTCCCCCCGCTCTCTATTGCACTTTCCTTTTTACGCTCTAATCCTCTCTTCCACCTTCCCTTTCCTCTCCTTCCGCCCTCCTTTTCCTGTAAAGTTCCACGTAACATCCTTGTTTTGAGTGACTGTTATCATAAGCATATATATACTGTGTGTACTAAGTATTATACAAAAAGAGTACATCTATATTACATGCTGTAATGCATAAAAGTTTATTATCACAGATGCATTGATTTATGATATATTATATGGCATAAGCCAAAAGGTTATTAGATTTAGACAGCATGAAACCATAAAGTGATTTAACAGATGAACACAAACAAAGCATGATAGCTGTGAAGATAAAAAGAACACTGTACGAACTGAGCAATCACTAAAATTCATACACTTTTGTTTCCTGGGAGTTGCTTCAAAACTTTCACCCTGTAGAAGTTGCCATCCTCGTGACTGACCACATAAAGCCGATCTTCATGAACATCCTCCACTTGATATTTGTTACTCTAAATGTAAAGCAGCATATTAAAATTATTAAATCTTATCACATGATATACATTTAGGTCCGAGTTTTTTTTTCACTAAATATGCATACAAAACGTACTGAATGCATGCATACGCATACATCATAGGCCTATAGAATAAATAATCTGTTGAACATTATCAAGCAGTTCACTGGTGATTATGGTTCCATTATTATGAATCAAGCCATTTGCACTAAACGCAAAATATCATACGTACAGGCCGGTAAGTTTTAGCTTGAGCTACTACTCCTAATTAATGGGTTTAATTGGCTATAAAAATAGAGTGGATGGATGTAAAGGACTACGGTTCAAAAGGTTTTACCTAATAATAAACCTTGGCTCATGTATTGTGAATATGTGAATAAGTTACCTCCTGGCTGTAGAAAGAGTGCATGTCCGCAAGTAATCTCTCAATGTCATCGCCCCACTTCCAGGGTTGAACCTGTGCAGATATGCATTATATTCATTATAAAATTCGCTATAGTTTAAACCAATTTGGGCAACAGTATAAAATACCTATGTCATGTTGCTCTAGTAATAAGTGGTGGGCACAATGTATAGATGCATATTCTCAGAGACACGTCGGTTTATGTCATAGTATGACATAAGGCAGAAGGGTTACCGGTATTAGACTTACACAACATAAAACAGCAAAGTGGTTTTACATATGAACACAAGCAAAAGTACTACAACTGTAGGGGTAAGCGAAAGGTCTGTATGAACAACGCACTCATGAAAATAATGTCATGTTTCTCTAGTAAGTGGCTAAAATATAATTTACAATGCTAATTATAAATGTTAAATCATTACTTACAATAAATTGGCTAGGATTGTTGATATTTGGCACGTGGATCTCAAAGTATTCACCGATGTGAGGAATTTCAAGCTTTGGCAGATCTGACATCATTTTCCACTTCACAATTTAAAAAAACAAAAACGATCAGCTGTGTGCACAGATATACAGATGTACACACCCCGGGGGGGGGGGCACTCCATATATATTGCATCAAGAGCTAATAATACTAATACTAGGTATTATTAGCTCTTGATTGCATGGTAGGTAAGTGCCGTGGGAAAGACCCCCCTTTTTCACCCTAAACTTCCGTTCCAGTGCATCGCATATTTAAGAATATCTCATTCCAGAGCATCACAAGGTTACATTTTCGAACATAGCCAGTTCCAGAGCATCCCACATTCAACAAACATTAGTTCCAGAGACCCCCATTTTCAGGTCTGAGTTAGTTCCAGAGCCCCTCATTTTTCACTTAACTTAATTAAAAAAACATTGCCGGCTCCATCATGACGGGCATTAGCCGTGCTAGGAAAGATAATGGGAGATAAGGGCATAGGCGATGCCCCCGAAAGTCACCTCCACCCTGCACCTGCACCGAAAGTCACCTGCACCCGAAAATCATTCATAAAATTATGGCGGAAAAACCGAACTCTCACGAAGCAACGCTTAGCCGCCCGCGTGAAGGATGGGGACAGAAGTGGATTCGAGGCGGCGTTTGGCATGTGGGAGGGGAGGTTTAGGAGCCGATATCTCCGCCTAGGAGTATCGTATTGACAAGCGGTTGGTCTTGTTTTAGAGAGCAAAGAATTCTGCTTAATGCAATACCATGAAATTATTCTAGACTCGCAGGCAAAGTAGAATAATGTTGTCGTGAAATAGCACTATTCCCCCGTTTTTCCGTTGTACACTCTAGGTATTATTAGCTCTTGATATTATATGTTTAGTGCCCCATACAAAAAGAATACAATATTTTAAAATGACTAAGTAATACATGTAATAACTTCTTATCAAATATCAAACTAAAGCAATTATATTCCAAATTTAATGGAATTTTTTTGGCAAGAAAATATGAAGTACTTATCAATAACGAATGTACTTACCATGCTTATATACACACTTAACTAGCTACGGATCACAGGCTCTTTCTAAATAAAGAAACATATCCTGTAGTTTTAACTGAGTTTCAAGGAGACTGCTATATCTGGTCTATAACAGTCGCAGTGATATGTTTTAAACTTGAAAAAAGACCTGCTTGCTAATGGAATGTTGCAGTACTGTGCTCTTGCTCCCAAAAGACAAAGATATTTGCATAATAGTGAACTCAACACGACTAGAATCTGTTAGAAGAACAGTAGGAAATCCTCCGCATCACCGATTGATGCAGGACCACTCTGTTCTCCGCTAGTGCGCCACAGCATGTCCAGTCCCGACTAGCTGTTGATGTATGTAGACATCGTAGGCAGGGTTGGCAGTGTCGATTAGCTGAACACCAATAGAGGGCACCTCATCAGCAGCAAGTGCGTCATGCTCATAGATCTGTGACACAAGCGACTTCTCCAACACCAGATCGGAGAAGAGCGCCACTGCCGTAGCTGTCCAGGACTTTCCATTGATGGGCTGCACACCTACACAGAGTGACAGAAAGTATGACTGCCAAGTGACACAAGCGGTGCTGCGCACCAACCTGATTACGTTAGATGAATGGTTTTGCAAATAATTTCTGGTCATAGGAACGATAGTGCAGTTGTTCGTAAATCTTAAATGAAGGTACTTAATTGTAACAGGTGCCACATAGGACGCAAAAAAATTCCAACACAAACACAACGTAGTTTACAGGGTTACTGTACTACACTCATCTTTAGTATCAATAACCACTAATTAATGCTGATTTTATAATAGGAAGCGATTAGCATCCACATACACGCCGCACTGTAAACACTGCTAAAACGTTGGCAAGTGAGATGACTGGTGTGGGAACTGGTTTTGCTGCATCTGCGAACCAATTGTTCACTGTCTAATCTTGCCACGCTATATCTGCTGAATGTTGGCTTGATGATGTCTAGTTATGGATACAAGCATACATTTCCTTGAATAAGTCATAGGAAGGAATCTGGGCTCTCTACAGAAATAACTATATGCCACGATATTCACTGTTACCATATTCTGCAATGGCGTGGGAACGTTGTTTAATGTGTTATTCATCGCTAACGTCTTCTTAGCCATTTTTATGGTAATAGCCTAACCAATCTGTCGCTTGATTTGAAAATTGTGGAGACTATTACAGTATTACTACCAAAGATGCTGATGGTGACGTATGTCGAGTGTAATTTCAAATACGTTGCTCCATATGGCTCTATAATGGCTCCATATATAAGGCACTGCACGGGGTCCTCCCAGCAGATTTTGACATATAATATGAGTTTGATACGGGTTATAAAGTGCTGTCTGTGGAGTGATGAGAACTTTCTCTGGATTTAATATCGAGTGACGTCGAATTTCCTTCCGTTTCCACGTGTAAATTTTGACTTCGCGTGAGCCACACTAGTAATGTGTTCTGCATTACGACACTAATTTCACAGAAAGCATTAACAAGAGCCGCAGAGCGGCTGAGCTCATCTGGG